TAGCATGCAAATAACAATGCGTTAGGAAGTAACTGCAGGTTATATCAAGCAAGAAACAGTTCATTAGTAATTAAATCTTCAGAGGTGAAAGTGAATAGTATACTTAAGATTGATGGGAGTTGTCCTCCATGGGAACAGCATGCAAGTAACAATTCATTAGGAAGTAACTGAAGATTATAGCAAGCAAGAAACAGTTCATTAGTAAGTCTTCAGAGATCAAAGTAATTAGTATACTTAAGATTGATGGGAGTTGTCCTCCATGGGAATGTATAACTTGAATCCAATGGATGAATGATATACACAGTCCAGTTTTCAAGAGACTCCAATACAATCTGTGGTCAGAGATACAGAGAAGGCAAAATCCTTTATAATAGTCAAAGGTTTTTTAACTTTGTGAACAAAGAGCTTAGCCGGCGTTTGAATGTGGAAGTAAGTCCGAGAATCACCAAGCGGTTTGAATCTGGCGCGGTCTCTCTTTATAGCGTAAGAGAGCCGCGTCAGAAAGGGGGCGGGGCCGGCTCCGCATACCGGAAACGCCGGAACGGAGCCGGAACAGATACGGCCTGACAAAAGGTCAAAAACCAGAACCAATGTATTTATCAGTGAGTAAGAGAGCTAAATTAACAGAGAGCTAAATAGCCAGAGAGTAGGAGCTTTGCTCACCCAGCAATAGACAGCCTATCCATGGCATCTTAAAAAAAAGTTGCCCAGAATTGATCTTACCAGTCAGGAAGAGAGTATTTCTGCTGACTGATTGACAGCCCAAGGAGGCATCCCTACACACTGAAAAAAATAAGTATTTATCTATGCAATTAAACATTTTCAAAAAGAAAGGCTGCAATAATGGAGTTTTTACACCATATACACGTTAGATGAAATAGCTATGGTTCTAACAATGACATCTATATTTTAAGCACCATAAAACAAGGATTTGCTATGTCTCATTAGATAAAACATGTGTCAGATAATATACAGTTGCCTTAGATGGAAATAGAGAGGTTAGCATGCTCATAAACTTTAAATATAAAGCACTAATTCCACAGTAAACTATATAATAAATGCAAATCAAAGTGAAATGCAAGTGAAACTGCACATATTTTTAAAAAACATATATTGAGTTTCAACAGCATCTTTCATCTCTGCTGCTTGTTAACTTTAAAATACTTGAAACTCAAAGTGATTAACCGAGTGACTGTCCAAGATGCATAGTTTGGTTCTGCACAAAATGAATATAATTTAATTTTCAGCAGCAAAATAAATAAATGAGATGTCATTTAAAAGCTTAGCCATCAGCGTAATACTAATAAGATTTTTTTTTGTAAGCTCTTTCAGTATCTGTAATAGTTGTCATCTATGGTCATTTACAATATTTCCACAAATAAAAGCACATTTAGGTAAATGGAACTGCACCTTTATTAATGCATGTAAGCTTTTAGCCACAGCAGCTGCATTTAGTCTATTTTGGCGTCTAGTCTTAATTATTGTTTTATCTACCTAATGAGCTTTCTTAAGAAGGAGGAAATTGAGGAGTGTGCATGATAATGTGGTTGGGGTTATTTAATTAAAAAACAATAAAGGCTCCAGCTGCTTTCTGTTAATAAACTGAAATTCTGATTCCTCCCTCAGATCACAGAACCAAGAGGTGACCAACAAAAACATTTTTTTTTCTCCTGCTTATGAGATCCAAGACACATGTCACTCATATTTCACAATCTGACATTATCAAGACATTTTCAAGACAGACAGCATAGTTTACTTCTGTCAATCTTTAAATTGTTTGCTATCTTCCAAAATTAGGATGTATAGCCATAGAGTTAACAGGAAAAAAAATAGGTCCTACACTCACTATTCCACTTCAACTGCCTTTGTGGGCAAACAGGCTAAATGAAGACGAAATAATGCTTTAATCCTACAACATCCACCCAATGCCCTAGGACAATTTTATGTGCTTCACAGTGCATATCTGCTCTTACATGTTACCCTGTTATTGGATTATAAGAAAGCTGAGAACTGATTTGCATAAACTTTGACAAGTTAGCTGAGTTGCAAAATATCTAAAATTCATATTTTGTTTTCTTGCCTTCTTATTTTGTTCTCTATCTTGCTAATTGTTTAATGTCCCCATAAAAGACTATTAAGTACATAGATATTTATGTTGTCCATTCATGATCAGGTCTATTCTGACCACAGCTGGTTAGGGCAAAACTAGACCAAGTAGAAATCAGGAAATGGCTTGATTTTTGGAGACTAGCATAGAACAACAATATGTCCCGCACCCCCAAATATGGGCTTCTAGTTCTGGATGACTGAAGGTTGGTCTTAACATAGATATAGATGTGGAAATTACAAAGTCCATAGTCCATATACAAGGTTGGCAATGGAAGATGACAAGCATTGAACTTTTTTAAGAAGGAACTGTATAAGGAACACAAGAGATACATTATTGTCAGGATTACTAAGTGATCCAGCACACAGAATAATATCACACTTAGGACTAATGATAACGTATAACTGGACCTTAGAATGGCCGGACATAATGTACCCAAGAATAGTCAGAAATCTTGCCGAGGTCAGGGATTCAGAATGAGACACAATGATGAGGGAAAGCCAAAAGTCAAGGATACCAGAAATCAGGGAAGTCAAACGAAGCCATAGTCAAATACGATAAATATAAGGATCAGGAATACTCTCTCGGATAACCAGCTAAGGGAAACCACGACAAGGCAAAGAGTAAAAGGAGAAACGAGTTTAAATAACCCTCTTGCAGATCCGATCAGCCGTAACCGGCCTTTGACCCCAAAACTTGCATGTGCCTCTTTTGCGCGACGTCACACGCACGTCAATGCTGTCAAAACCGTGGGCGGACGTGGGGCTATAATATGCCGCGTCCACCGACATGTTGCAGCAGTCAGGCATAGTGGCGCAGGACCGCTGAGCGGCACCTCAATTACTGCTTGAAAGGCAATTTTCAGTGCAAACATCACAAGGTGAGGATGAATACGTGACAATTACCTTCTTCTTCATATATTATAAGTATTATGTTTTTCCAAGAAAGAGAATAGCAAGAAAAAAGAAAAGAGAAAATTATCATTGTTTCTCAAATGCTAATTGTGTTCGATGACTGCAAAACATTCTTCATACTAAAGATTCTCAACAATCTCCATCAAAAGACCATGAAAATGCTTAAGTACTAGTGGAATGATCACTGTCTCAGTCAATTAAATAAAATGTTATGGTACTCATATCTGTAACAACAGGTGAGCTATTGCCGTTAAGAGCTTTGTGCACTGATGGTAACTGAGAAACTAGGATTTTACAAAATTATATATATATATATAATTTCTACAACTATATTCATTAATGTTGTCAAAAGCTACACACTTAGTCTGTCAAAACTGAAATTGAGAAGCTAATTATAACTCAAGAACAGCACCAATAAAGCAAAACTATAAATGGGCATTGTCTGAATGGAAATGACAAGACCTTATCATTAGGTCGACCAGTCAGAAACCTAGTGATGCATATTGTGTAACACTGTGTCTGAACTCAATGACTTATAAGATTTGTAATGTCTCTTTAGTTATGCTGACTAAACACACATATATATACATATATATATATATAGTCAGCATAGCTAAAGAGACATTACATATATATAACATATATAACATTACATATATATAAGTAGAGATTGTAGCCGTATTAGTCCAGTGATGTAGATGTAAAAAACAGATACAATTTGTATCTTGTAATACCTTTTTTATTGGACTAATAGAATTTTTTAATGACAAGCTTTTGGAAGAACCTCCCTTTCTCAAGTCTAAAGCATTTCTGAGCAAGACGACACATAGAATTCAAAGTTGAGTTGTGATACATTGGTTAAAGCAACATGAGTGCAGATAAGACACAGGTTTCATAGAAAATGGACACCATCCTTGCAGAGGGTTGTAAATATCGTGTGTGAAGATCACAGAGTGAGGGGGGAAAGAGAGAAAAAAAACAATCAAACAGTGCAGAAGATTGTGCTATAAGAGGAGAGTAATAACAAAATAATTACTTATATTAAGAATGCATGAATTCCCATCCAAGAGTTACAGGATATGCATGAAGGCCTATATCCAGCATACACACACACACACACACACACACACTCACACTGACACACATGTACATATACATATACACAAGTAGTGTAAATATACAAATATACACAAGTACATATACACATATATAAATGCACAGTCACATATGTAATACATGCATAAGAGCATGGGAAAGCATAAGAACATGGGAAAGCATAAGAGCATGGGAAAGCATAGGTCTATACATGGTACTTTGTATATTGATAGAATAAACAGATAATTGGAATGCATTTTAAAATGATACATTGATACATATGACAGAACAGTAAGATAGTGAGGGCGTGTTCATGTAAAGTGTTGGTAGTGGGACAGGAAACCCAAATCAATATTTAGTCCTCTATTCTTGCTGTTAAACTATTTAATCATTCTGGCTTCAAACGTGTTTCTTTCTTGGGCATTTTTAAAACCCCCTTTCAGTACTTGAATTTCTAGGTCCTTGATTGAGTGGCCAGGCTGGGTAAAATGGTGTCCCCCCCGTAGTGCAGTAGGATTCTTCTTTGTGGTGTTTAATGGAGTGTCTGTGCATATTCATATATACACTGAACAAAATTATAAGCGCAACACTTTTGTTTTTGCCCCCATTTTTCATGAGCCGAACTCAAAGATCTAATACTTTTTCAATGTAAACAAAAGGCCGATTTCGCTCAAATATTGTTCATAAATCTGTCTAAATCTGTGTTAGTGAGCACTTCTCCTTTGCCAAGATAATCCATCCACCTCACAGGTGTGGCATATCAATATGCTAATTAGACAGCATGATTATTGCAAAGGTGTGCCTTAGGCTGGCCACAATAAAAGCCCACTCTAAAATGTGCTACTTGACCATGTACACCGGATCCTACCTGACACAACTCCCAGAGATGTGCTACTCCAGGCCCACTACCTCCACATCAAGCATATCCTCCGAGCTAACTGCAACAAAGCACAACCTCCAGACGAATGCCAAACAATCAAGATTCTCGCTGACCTCTCATCTACTACACTGCGCAAGCAGAACGATGGAGTCAGATTCCGCTGGGGTTATCCGACCAAGATGATAGTCACCAGGGAAGGAACCACGGCGGTCATCACCTCATCGAAAAATGAACTCCGCCAGCTACAGACCTGGGGTATGACGACCCAACAGCCTGAAACGAGAACTTCACCCTCGGGAAGGTTACCGCTAGAGTCGAACAGAATGCCCATCAAGAGAGACTAAATCGCTGGCACACAGTAAGTATATAGCCTCTGGTTACCTTGCGTTAATAACATTTAATTTATGGGCAGACAATCCTTCTATAAATCTAGTTCATGCAGGATGAGAACATAGATCATACTGTTAGCATAAGCCCACGGTAAGAATGCAACTAAAAACCCCAAGCCCACGATTCACATAATGTTAACTAAAAGATGGTAGGATGTCCCTCAACGGGCAGGACGACTGTAGCTAGAGCCCCCCCCATCCCCTGCAGACACTGCCATGAAAGGGGTATCAGACACAGGCTAGCTGGTTATCTATTGCAATAAATCTAAATGAGCCTGGTCAGGACCATTGTAGTGGCGTGCAGAGGTAGTAGGGAGACTTGTCGGGGAAGCAGGGCGAGCAGTACGGCTCTGTCTAGGTACGGGGCGTTCTTCCTGAAAACCATCACCATCATACCCGCCAGCAGGAGCTGGGGGATAAGTACGAGCGTCAGAAGGAGGCGGGGGGGCTTGGGAATACTCAGGAGGCGGGAAGTATGGAACCGGAGGAGGTGGTGGTGGCTGAAAGTACCCTGGAGAGAAATGTCCATAGGCAGCAGCAAAGGGATGAGAATACCTGGGGAGTAGTGGCCTATTCAGCCTAGGATGAGGACACTCTCTTCGGAAGTGGCCAACCTGGTGGCAATTATAACAGGTTCTGGCCGCGGTCGGGGTCCGATCCTGAGTGGGGATCATGGACTGTTGCATGGTATAACCTTGGGGAGCATGGGTGAGCCCAGTGGCAGGAGCTGGGGCAGCGAGCATCAGAGGGTTAGTTCTTCTCTGTACAGACTGAGACACAGTATCCAGAGGGATTATTCTATATTCAGGGCGAGAGAGGATTAAACCCTTACGGATGACCACAGAGGGCCGGCACCACTGTAGTTTGGATTTAGACACTTTACAACCTTCTTCAGCTAGAAAGCATAGAAGATCTTCGGAATCACGCTCAGCAGTTGAGAGGTCAGCAGCAGAGAGGAATAGGTCATCAACTTACAGGAGCAAGACCACGTCTGTGTGAGCTTTTTGCCAGGGTTCCAAGACAGTAGACATGGCTTTTGCGAACTGAGTAGGAGAGTTCTGTGCCCCCTGTGGCATGACAGTCCATGTGTACTGTTGGCAGTCATGAGTAAAGGCAAAGAGCGTGTCTTTGCGTGATAGGGGTGTAAGTAGTTGGACCTGACCATCTGCAGTGAAAGTAATTGAGGCCTGAAGGCTGGACAAAACATCAGCACCCAAACGATTAATGGGACAGGTGGAAGAAACAACAAACCGTGAGAGGATATCAGAACCCACACGTAGAAGCTTAGTTAGTGGATTGCTGCGGGGAGTGCCGTCAACACCTACACAAGATACATTGGTGTCTGACAGGTAGGACGGGTCTGTCAGGTCTTGTTCTCTAAGAATACTGTGGGCTGCACCTGTGTCAACTAAAAAGATGGTAGGATGTCCCTCAACGGGCAGGACGACTGTAGCTAGAGCCCCCCCCATCCCCTGCAGACACTGCCATGAAAGGGGTATCAGACACAGGCTTGCTGGTTATCTATTGCAATAAATCTAAATGAGCCTGGTCAGGACCATTGTAGTGGCGTGCAGAGGTAGTAGGGAGACTTGTCGGGGAAGCAGGGCGAGCAGTACGGCTCTGTCTAGGTACGGGGCGTTCTTCCTGAAAACCATCACCATCATACCCGCCAGCAGGAGCTGGGGGATAAGTACGAGCGTCAGAAGGAGGCGGGGGGGCTTGGGAATACTCAGGAGGCGGGAAGTATGGAACCGGAGGAGGTGGTGGTGGCTGAAAGTACCCTGGAGAGAAATGTCCATAGGCAGCAGCAAAGGGATGAGAATACCTGGGGAGTAGTGGCCTATTCAGCCTAGGATGAGGACACTCTCTTCGGAAGTGGCCAACCTGGTGGCAATTATAACAGGTTCTGGCCGCGGTCGGGGTCCGATCCTGAGTGGGGATCATGGACTGTTGCATGGTATAACCTTGGGGAGCATGGGTGAGCCCAGTGGCAGGAGCTGGGGCAGCGAGCATCAGAGGGTTAGTTCTTCTCTGTACAGACTGAGACACAGTATCCAGAGGGATTATTCTATATTCAGGGCGAGAGAGGATTAAACCCTTACGGATGTTTTCCCTCAGGCCAGCCACGAAGGCGGCGGACAACATCTGAGCGTGCGCTTTATTGTATGTACTAAACCCTAGATCAGAAAAGGTTTGGGTTAATCGTGAATGAATAGAAACTGGTTGGCCGCAAGTCCAAGAGGACACGACAGGGGGTAACCCTAATCGTGAATGATATTTCTCTACAGACTCAAGTTTGTCCTGAATGATGTCATTTATACAAGTGGCTTGGTCAGCCAATGAGAATGCTAAGCAAAAGGCATTTGCAAAAATCACACGCATAGAGATGAGCGTAAACCCCAGAATCAAGGACAAACCACACAACACACACACACACACACCGAGGGTACCCACACTGTAGCAACAACTAAACAGAATCCACAAAATGACAGAGAGTAATATGGCCATGTACATATTAAAACAGTGAGCATCAAAGGCAAAACACAGTAACTACGATAGTAATAATAATGATAACAATAACAATCCCAGCCTCTCTCTCTAGGCTGTAACCCTGTAATCCGACCCCTTACCAGGTCAACAGTAATAACCCAACCTTCCACCAGGTGGTCCCCAGCCTCTCACCGGCTGTCCATGATTACCCAACCCTCGTACTCGGGTGGTCCCCAGCCCCTTACCGGCTGTCAACAATAACCCAACCCTCTTACCCGGGTGGTCCCCAGCACTGCCAATAACAACCCAAATCCCTTACTCGGGTGGTCCCCAGCCCCTTACCAGCTGTTGCATTCCCTGCCCGCTAGGCAGTCAAGCTAAGGTTTTCAAAAAGTAAAACACATACACCGGCCGTCAAACACACACACACACACACACACGCATACATCAGAGGTACCACTCAGGAGGCAGATAGACAATCCACAGGTTCGTTTAAAGAGGCACTGGATAAGAGATTACCTGTCTTGTAGCCTTCTGAAAGCCAGAAGTGGACACGGAGGCAGACTGACACAAAACAGGAGAATACAGGCAACGGCTGTATTTTTGGAGGTGATCAGGCTCCGGTTGTCCCACTTTCCGGAGGTCCGCTCCGGTCCGTTGGTTTCCGGCTCTCCGAACCGGCAAATCCGGAGCCCCACGTTGGGCGCCAAATGAAGTAGAAATCAATTCAATTAATTGAATATTTTGCATATCTGCCCCCAGCCAAATTAAAGAAACAGTGCGTGCACGCTCCCTGAAGTAATTCACACCAGACACAAGTTTCAGGTTAATGAAAAACATGAGGAATGTTTATTCAGAGGGGACGGCAAGTCCCTTTTAAAGCAAAATTACATCATATGCATTGTCAGAGATAACATGAAATAATACATTATTAATTGGTTAGGTGTTATGTGGCTCTTTTAATGCTCTGCCTACAGGGGGTGATGTCATTAGTATCATGAGGGTCTCCCCTAGATTCCAGCGCCATCTTATTACACGAGGTAGTTAGTCGATGTTAGAGGGGAAGCTCCCCAGCGGCCATTTTAGTTAATCACATAAGGGTTGAATAATGCTGATTATAGTTAAATGAGTAAATAGACATTTTACTAGCTAAAAATTATGTTAATATCTCATTTCCACAACAAAAATGCTTGTAAATGTCCAGTTGGTTTTTACTGTTTATTTTGATGGTTTTTTATTTTATTTCGAGTTAAAACAAAATACGGTTTTATCCAATGCTGGCACATAACGTGTAAGTTATATTGTATTACTGACACTATCTTTCCGGATAGACTGGATACCCATGGTCCTAGCTCCTGCAGATCATATATCCATCCATAGCGTTTTGCTTCAGCCTAGGCAGCAGACACAAATAGAATGCTCTAAGTTCAGGAATAGAGCGGTGCTGACTGTGAAGCACTAGTTTGTTCTCATGACAAGAAAGTACAGTCTTGGTTGCCAGCACTTGGCTGATCCTATGCCATGACATTACAGGAATACCAGCAAGACAATTCTGCAACATTAGGACGAGACCTACTAAAGGGTGTCACAAATATAACACAGGCATTGTCAGGTAGGGTCCTTAAGGGTCAATTTGGATATTTCTCTTAAGCTCATACGCTCTACGTTTCAAAATGTATCAACATGTCCTCCTTCGGGGTAATGACCTCATGGGTACACGGAGGGATATAAATACAAATAAAACCTTTTTTTTTTAAATACCCAATGTAACAACTCATGTGAGCGTCCTATTACTATAGGAATACATGATAGAGCCAATAGCCACCGAACAGGAGACTTTCCGTTTCCAACCCCCATGGTACAACAACCTGGTACCATACCCCAAATGGGAACCATTTGTAAATATTTTGTTTCTCTTCCTCCTAGTTGTTATGCCATGACATTACAGGAATACCAGCAAGACAATTCTGCAACATTAGGACGAGACCTACTAAAGGGTGTCACAAGTATAACACAGGCATTGTCAGCTAGGGTCCTTAAGGGTCAATTTGGATATTTCTCTTAAGCTCATACGCTCTATGTTTCAAAATGTATCAACATGTCCTCCTTCGGGGTAATGACCTCATGGGTACACGGAGGGATATAAATACAAATAAAAACATTTTTTTTTTAAATACCCAATGCAACAACTCATGTGAGTGTCCTACTACTATAGGAATACATGATAGAGCCAATAGCCACCGAACAGGAGACTTTCCGTTTCCAACCCCCATGGTACAACAACCTGGTACCATACCCCAAATGGGAAACATTTGTAAATATTTTGTTTCTCTTCCTCCTAGTTGTTATATCTACCCTTACTCCCCCTTCACTCCAATACCACAAGTCTCAGTTAAATTACCTACATACAACATGAACTGCAAAGAGAGCCACAATTGGTTAAAGCACCCTTAGTGGCAATACCA